ACCCATCTTTAGCGGAATAAAACGCAGGGTCACTATAATTGTTTTATTTGGGCTAATTTTCATTTTGATATTGCGATGATGACCGGGCGTTCTATTCCAGTGAAGACGGCTGGTATGTAGAAATGGTCTTCGGCTAGCAAGTAGTCGAAATCGGTCTTCAGAGACACACACGGGAATCGATCTCCTTCATTCGTTTCTCACAAGCAGAGGAGCTCAACGTCAACAAAAAATAATAGTTAAAAAAAAAAAAAGAAAAAAAAAAATCAGTAATCGAAGTAGTGGAATTAAAGTAGTACCAGTATTACTGCTCCAAAGCGCATTCCCCGAAGTCGATGTACTCTTAACGCCACTGTATCGGGGCAGAAAAGTAGCTTCTATACATTGCTAACGAGGGTACGTTATATTCGGGTGAAGACGGTAGTGGTAGTGCCAGTAATCAGTAATAGTTAACAGTAGTAGCAACGGTAGCAGCCTACTCGCAGCGGTAGTGTAGCCATAGGTTGTACGCAGCAGTACTGTTGGTATATATATATCGTCACAAATAGAACTGCCCGGTAAACCGTAGGCAGAGAGAGAGAAGAGGACAACAAACGAGGGGCTGTGACAAACTGTTTCGTCGGAGTTTCACCGACTCATCAGGAGGCTGAACCCTATATATATATATATATATATATATATATATTAAAAGCTATGTTCTTCTCTCAATTTCACCTCACACTACCTACCTACCACTACTAATATTAGTTGGCACTGTGGTAGTCATGTTGCAGTTACTGTAGTGGTGACGGTGGTGGTTTTACTGCGGTAACAGTCGTTCCCACTAGGACAGCGCACGGCGCTCATTCATAATCGGCTGTATCGGACCGGACATCTAGCTTGCATTCATTCATAATCAGGGTGCCTTGTGTTCGGGGGTTATTAGTAATTGGCGCAAGTAGTGGTGACATTATTGGCAGCAGCACTACCCTCTTCACCATCCGGTAATTATCGCTGCATCTGGACTCACAGGTACTCCAAGTACAGCCATCATGTCATGACAGGGCGTCTATTCGTCTGAAGTCGGTAGTACCGTAGTGGTATGAAGCAGCAACCCGCAAGTGGTTGAAAAGCTGTACTGAGTAGCAAAACCAGCAAGCCGCCCGGTCATTGTCGCTGCATCTGGACTGACACCTACTCCAAATACAGCCATCATCATCACAGGGCGTCTCTTCGTGAATCGTGTGAAACCGCAAGTGTTTGACAAGCTGTCGTGTGCAGTGACTGCAGTCCACGTCTTACATGCATATCTCACCCCGTCGTGTGAAGCCGTATATATCATCACATAAATATGAGAGCGCAAAAGCGAAAAAAGGAAAAGAATGAATTCATTTTTTTCTCTCTTCTTCTTTACAACTCCCCCTGTTCAGAACCTCTTGCGTACAAGGCCGCCCACGTGGATGTAGGTTGAGCGGCGGCTGCCCCCACCCCCGTGTGCCATATCGACCCACTTCCACACAGCCAGAGGCAAAGAGGCAAAGAAAAGAGGAAGGGAACAGCCAAATCATACAGAACAGGGGGCAACAAAACTAATCCCAGATGACACGTCCCACATATATATATATATATATATATATCGTCACAAACAGAACTGCCCGGTAAAACCGTAGGCAGAGAGAGAGAAGAGGACAACAAACGA